GTTTTAACTTTTTAAAAATTCTTTATGTTTTTTTTTTCCTTTTTTGTTTTGTTTTTTGTGTCTTTTTTTTTTTTTTTTTTTTTTTTTTTTTTTTGGTGATCAGTTTAGAAAGAAGACGGTTATGACGAGACAGAACGCAGGACAAAGCTCTAGCTGCGATCACAGCCAATAATGTCATCACATTAACCCTCAAACTGCTCACTCTTGTGGACAATTTGACACTCGATTCCACATGGATTCGCAGTTTTTGTCATATATAATTTACACAACCCACTATCAGAAATTTGCCTCGAGAGGCTTTGCAGTCTATCCCAAACTGTCCAACCCTTTCCTCACACACAGTTACTTTCTCAATTTCATTGGCAGCTTCCAATAGTTCAGAGAGCACTAAACGGCTAGAACCAAGGGAATGAAGCGCCCCCACACTGTGAGACCTTTTATGTATCACAGGCCCTTCATTCACATGATTCTCACCTCCCAGAACAGTATTTTACTCCAAAATGAATGGTATAACCTCCGGGCGATGTCAAGGTGAAGGAAACGTGTCACTGGCTCCCTGGCGAGCCTTTCATAGCCTCGGCGCTCTCCAGTTAATGACTCGAGTGAGGAGGGTGCGTTACCTCAGGCTCGGTCAGATGAGCCCGGACAAGCGGCTCAGACTGTAATCACAGGCAATCATCAGCTCTCTGGTTGGATTTCTGCTATTCTGGACTGAAAAGCATATTCCCAGAACTATGATTTTTTTTTTTTTTTTGGGCTCTGAGGTGGAGTGAAACAAAGGGGGAAGGAGGTTGGGAACAGATAAAGACAGTGACTTATGACAAGATAGGCTGGGGAGAGATTAGTGGCGCTCAATATTTGCTTGGCATTCTAGCCACCAATTATTTACAAACTAAAGCAAATGCATAACATGTTGCCGTGGCTTGTGCAAATTTTGGTGAAAGATTTGCAGAAGTCTTACTGCTCAATTTAGGGTTTTTTCTGTTTCTGCCACAACTAACCCTGACACAGATCGGAACAAACACTTATACAATTATTTAAGTCTTATGCTTCAGATTGATGTATGTTAATAGGCATACAATGCTGTTTTATGTCAAAGGGATCATTTATGTTACAGAAGGGAAAATCTGTCTACGTACGGATAACGGCGATCTCTTTATACAGTTTTAACCTTTGGGCTTTTGCTTGTTTACTTATACGTTTATCTTTACTGTTCTTTGTTGCCTCCTTGGTGCCACCTTCATGTTCAGAGCTTTACGTTCACATTTAAACAAAATTTCACCCCTTTTGAATGACAAAAAAGCTGCCGACTTTGACATTCAAAAGACCTGAGTATATTGTTAAAAGACTAATGTTTTTTAAATCCCCCTCCAACCCCCAAAAAACAAAAAGTACTCTGTGACACAAAAGCAACCTAAAAGGATCAGCTTGAGGGAGAATATACTGTTAGTGGCATTACTTGTGGCTTGCTGTCGAGAGAATGGTCCAGCTGCACAGCCTCATCTTTTTTTCAGCTGATCTCATTCTTTGTGTGAAAAACTCTGGTCGCAGTGAAAATGGGTCTGCAGAATTTTCCCTCAAACTGCCCATTTCTCACTGTGACCACAAGTGGGATGTCTCTCAGACAGTTAGTCATCTTTCTTCCCTAGAAACCGCCAGAAAGAGTCGTGCTTCCCAATTATCTACCACAGTGCCGTATCTTTTACCTCTGCACAGTTCAGATCAAATAAAACCTTCAAGTAATGACCCATTGTTGGCTATTAATTAATTGCTGCAGTTCAGTTTAAGTGTTGCTTAAATATTTCAACTAGACCAAAGTGATAAAAGCTGGAGTGAATGTTATCAATCTGAAAGAACTGACATGACACTCGTACCCAGAAACGACTTGACCTTCTGGTTCCGCTACCGCCCTCCACTTTGTTTGGGGTAAAAAAAAACAGTTCAGTGCGGTTTCACATGCTGGACCCCAGGTTCTGCGATTCCTTGACCCCCCCCAGGCTAAATGTAATGGAGGTTCTATGTTTTCCAGCTCGCCTGTCTCTCTTCATCAACACACACGGTGACCCATACACAGCCTGCAGCGCTGACACTAATGCGGAATACAGAATGGTTGCTCATTTAATTTTACAGCCAAGCTTGCTGGTGCCACTCAAACAGAGCATGTCCCCACAACCAGCAGCCTGATTTAGTGGCTTGATAAGCAGAGAAGAAACTACCCCCCTCTCGCCTCGCTTTTTGTTGCTACATCCGTGTTGGCTCTGTCTTTCGAGCTTTTGTACCTAAACATGTCTTGTAAAGGGATTCTGTGTGAGAGCAGCGTCTTGGACTGTTTCTCTAAAACCTCGGCTCTTTGTGCTCTGTGGCTCCGTCTGTTTGTCTGCTTTCTGCTGCGGTCTTTCATCACGTTCACTCCCTGCTTTGGCATGACTTGGTGTAGTATCTCTCCTCATGTCTGTCTTCACATGACTGTAGTAAACCAGATCTTTACTGCCCCCTTGTGGCAGTATGCTTCAACCTCTTCGGTGGGGTCATTGAAATCAAGTCTAAAATCAAACAGCGAAACACAATACATAAAAAAATCTTGCATGCAATGTTTTTATTGCGCCTTTTGCTCATGAGTGTGTTTGTAAAGGTTGCTAGCTTATTAATGGCAGTCTATATTAGTGGATCAGGCCATTTAAGTGGATGATCCCTGTGCTGATTATTCTCTAGCTTTGTGCACCGACGCTTGTTTTGCATTTGCATATAAATTGCTTTATATGCAGATGCATATAAAGCACTTAGCAGCAATGTGGCATTGCTGCTAAATTCTTTGTCAGTGGTTTAAAATTCATGAATTCTTTTGAAGTTGACCATTGTGGGGCTGTCAATTATTATCATTATTATTTTTTTTTAGTTTGATGCATTGAAAAACAAAAAATTCCTGCATGTGTAATAAGTGCACCAACATATGGCTCAAGATTCTGCAATCCTTCTTGATTATGTTAGATTATGACAGTGAGTCTGTCATAATCTAACACTTCCTCTGTCTGCATTGTCTGTCTTGCCTTGCATGTTAGAGGGGTCTGTTTCACTGAATCTCATTTTACTGGTCACAAAGATAAGTACTATTCATTACTGTGTTGAACTATCAGAAAATTGTACTGAAATTGAAAGCACTTAAACAGTTTTTCTCTTCATCTGTATTAACTTGTTTCTGACCTTTCCACGAGTCCTTCTGGTAAAGAAACTATCCATTTGGTCATTTCATAAAGTCTTTTGGGAAAATGACATGTCTATACTTTGCAGCTCTCACACATGCTGCCAAATACTGTCATCTAGTCCCAGTGTATAATAAGACCTACGGCAAGCAGTCATCTTCAGATTTAATTTGTTTCTGGCTTGATTGTTTGCCTCAGGAGGGACAAGATTGGTTCAAAAAGTAATTGAATGGCCTATTTAATTTCTTCTAATTGATTTTGAATGACTTGATACGTGTTTTGCTTTTTATCTTGTATCAGTATGCATGGAATTTGGTGAAGTTGAGGGATCTCTTTATTTTATTTGTGGTGACTGCAAGACTCAGACTAAGGGATTTTTTTTCTCTCATAGGTGAGCAAAAAGTAGTTAAAAAAATCTAAAATATGTGATTGAGTCATATGCCAACCGAAAGAGATTTCTATAAATTGTATAACTAGCTTTTATTTATTTGTATAAATAGAAATTGGGGTGATAAATGCTTTTTTGTTTTTTTGTTTGTTTTTTTGTTTTTTTGTGTGTGGGTAATTAATTTAGTTTGTTTTCAGTTAATTACATTTCAATTTTCAACCATTTACAGTTACATCTGATATTATTCATACCCCTTGCAGTTTCAGGGTAAAGTAGTCTTTAAATTTTTTTCAACAGGTTTCTTTTGCGTGGAAGTGAAATTATTATTTTTGGAGAGACCAGTCAGATAGTTCAACATTTCATCTGCTTTGTGCATTGCGCACGTGTCAGTGATGATGGTGGCAGCTACATAATGCATGATAGATTTTCTGCCAGCAAATTAATCTAGCATCGTAATGCTGGGACCGCCATCCTTCAGTTTTGGTCCAGTTTCTTTGAATTTGAAAGCCCTGCCGCCTTGTCCTTCAAGCCGAGTCTTTGTGATTCTGACTGTACTGTAAAAGTAGATTTTGCTTCTCCTTGTGGACAGCTGAAAATCAGTCTCCATTCATGACTGTATAATAAGGACAGGACTTTTTCAACTTATGTACCACCAGCCTTTGTGGAAAAAGAAAAGATCAAAGTAATCATCAAAATCTCCGGGATTAACGTGACATTTATGCCTCTGATGACTGTGTGAGCTGTTCTCCTAAATCAATCGTAGGCTTGTAACTCCATAAATGAAAAGTCGTCCTATGAAAGCTGAAAAGCTACATTATACTTTCATAATGGACTTTTTTTTTTTTTTTTTCTTTTTATGGAAAATGATTACCCATTACTTCAAACAAAATGACTTTCCAGTGTGTCTGCTAATATGTTGATCTGCATGCATTCAATGGTGGCTCTGTTTCTGCAGATGCAGGGGCTCTTTGATGTTCCATCACCTGCTGATACCGAACATTAAAGACGCCTAAAAAAAAAAAGCACATTCTCACTGTGTCTGTTTCGCATACTCATGTTTGGCAGACATTTCCATAATGAGCACCCCTTGTGCTAGTGTGCTTGGATCAATAAGAGAAATCCTTTTTCACATAGCTTTATATGTTTGTGTTGGGATTGTTGGGATCTGAAGGCTGGAACGCGATGGCGTGCTGAAAACAACTCACTGATCTTGCTTTATGGCTCGAAATAAAAAAAAAAAAAAATTGGACACATTCTTCGACATACTTGACTTCATACACAGGAAATGTGCTTTCCAACCACTTCAACCGCGATAGCTGACCACATTTTGTCAGATGGGAAGTATGTGTATACACTGTAAAGAAAACTGTCTGTTTATATAATTTGGTCACAGAGCACATCCTAGAGATTCACTTTCAGCCTGATTTTCTGTAATTCCTTCTCTGTGCATGTTTACTTCAGCCTCTTTCAGTACGCTTCCTTCTCTAAATGTTGTGACGGCAGGTCTAAACAGGATGCAGGTCTGCTGCAATGGGACTTTACCGAAGTGGTTACACGGGTCAATCTAAGTGTCACTGGATTGAAAGCATCCTATGTATGGTGCAGCAATATATGGCCGTGAAAAAGGATTAAAAATAGCAGATTTTGTCACCTTTTAACCACAAAGGTTAATATATCTAATTTGGATCTTGTTATAGACAACATAAGCACGCTATGCTTGATTTGATTGCCAAATTTTTCATATAAAAAATGGAAAATTGATCTGTGCTTTTGCTCTGCATTACACCCCACTGAATCAATAACCCATAGAACCTCTACCAGCTCTGCATATCTTTATGCTGAAAACTTTGCACATTCTTTTTTTTTTTTTTTTTTTTTTTTTTAATTTAGCACAAGCTTAGTCAGATTGAATAGACTGCTTTGTGATCCTCAACTTCAAAGTTTCGACACAGATTTTCTCTTGGATTTTGTTCGGAGTCATGACCGGGGCCATTCTGTCGCATCCTCTGCAGCTCTGGCTGTATGCTTATTCGTCTTTTGCAGTCCATAATGGGTTTTCCCCCAGGATTCTCCTGTATTTAGCTCAAGCTATCTTATTTCACAAATAGCAGATTTGTGGCATAATCAATCAATCAATCAATCAATCAAATTTTATTTGTATAGCACATTTCAGCAGCATAAGTGCATAAGGCATAAGTGATTAGCCATTGTTGGTTACCAAATTCCTCTTTTGCTGCTTCTTTGATTAATGCTATTCTTGCCCAGCCTGTAATTTTAGATGGGTGGCCATGTGTTTGTAGGTTCCTCCAACAGAAATCTGTACAAATCTCCAAAGCCTGGTCATATTGTTCTATGACCTAGAACAATATCTGCAGTTGCAGTTCTCCACAACTACAGAACTTCTGTATTTATACAAAGTTTTTGTTTAGGGGTATAAGATGAAGCCAGACAACCAGACAAATAAAAACAAGCTTCAGGTGTTTTGGCAAAGTGTTCCCATGACAACGCAGAGATGCTATGGCCGGTTCACAGAGAGGGGAATTAATGACCACCCTATGAAGAGAAATGAAACATTTAACCAGAACTTCTGGTTCCTGTGATGTTCAGGAAGTCTGTTTGGTCCATCTCGCTGCGTTCCAATCCATCGCTGTGTCGTACAAACACTCCTTCTGGTCCGTCTTGAACTAGGACATAAATGTATATATATAAATATAAGAATCCACTATCTTGTGTATTTATGTACTCTGTTTAATGATTGTTTGTTATCTTCATGTTATTTGGTTCTGTCATCAAATCTTTTTGGTTAAATGCATCCTAAAGGGTGGACTTTAGATGATGGGAAGTACATTGGTACCCATCCAAGCCCATGTCTCTCCTCCCTTTGTCTTCCATTCCTTCTCTGTTCTCCCATTTCTTCCTCTCCTGTGACCTCTGGGAGTCCTCACAAGGCACAGCGTTCCAGAATAAGCCGATTTCCCCCCCCCAAACTTTTCCGTGTTCTTCTTTGGACTTCTCCTCTTTTTCTTAAATTAACATCGGAATAAAAAGAAAAAAGAAAAAACCTTTCTGCTGAGTGACTCATTCAAATAATTGTTACTTTTAGCTGTATCAGATTCTCTGACTCTCTCTCGTTCTCTCTCACTGCTTTTCTACTTCTATCCCTCTGCGGTGTAGTTTCTGGGCCACATTTGAATTGAAGGCTTTAAGTAAAGGGGATGACATCAGAGAAGGGCGCAAAATAGAAGGAACTACAATCTGAGTTGTCTTTTATTTATTTATTTTTTTTTGCTTTCTGTGACTGCATGTAAGGTCAGTGACGAGAAAAAATCCTGTGATGATTTTTTTTTTTTTTTTACTTTTTATTTGTACTTAGCTGTGTCTTAGCACAACCCTGCATCGCTAACCCAGATAAAGAGACACATATCAAGGACTTTGTTCACTATTCATAACTCAATAACAGAGATAACAAAGAGATGCTGTGTGTGTAAGCAGGGAAAAAAAAACCCAGAAGAATTGAGCTAGTAAAGGAAAGGGGAGGGAACAAACAGAGGAAGGCCAGGCCAACTTGAAACAGACACGAAATCTGAGACTGCTCAAGACAGATTCGGAAAGAAGGCTGCAAGACGTGGAGAAAGGAGTACAAGAACCCTCCTTTGGTTTTGGGCTGAGTGAGACTCTCCCATCGCTCTCTCTCATATCTCCCTCCTCTTCGGAGCGTCCCATGTGAGCGGCGGCCCCGATGACTGGACCGCTGTGTGTCTCCACTCTGCTTACGCTGTGCTGAACTCTGGCAGATATGCATTGTTCTCCACTGGGCTCGACTTGTTGCTCCTGTTTCTCAGCAGTTAGTCTGTGCTAACTCTGCAGACGGACTGGGGAAAGGCTTTCGGTAGATTTTCACGGTGAGTACTGACATTTAAAATTTTGGGGTCCTCTGTTGAGAATAAATATTTGCCTCATTAATTTGGTTTTCTCTCCTCTGCCAGAGGAGAATGGGTTGACATACATGTTGCAGCAATCAAGCTGTTTGACTTTTGAGCAACAAAAGTTAATGTGGCGGATTGTTAAAGGGATATGGAGAAACTCTTGTTTGGATTGGTGTGTTTCTGTACTGAGCCATTTTTTTTTTTTTTCCAAACATTGTACACGACTGAATAGCCTCTGTCTTGCTGACTCATTCGATTAATTTAATTCACATGGTTCCAGGATCAATGGGTGTGTTTAGTTTGCCTGTGTTTGTCATTGTGTAGAAATTCCCCTTAATTGCTTGTGTGTAATTCCACATCTTGGCCTTTATGTAGGCGTAATTAACTTATTAGTCATGTACATGTGAAGAAATGTACTGTTACATCAGCCAGATTCATATAACTTTGACATATTTTAAGCAGTTACAGCTTAAAATCTCAGAGTAATAGGTAAGTTCAGTGTATGTGTAACCTGTTCCTGCCATCAGCTTCTAACAACTTTGTGTTGAGCTTCAAACATGATTGAGACTGAGCAGTGGTCCTTGTCCTGGGGAAGACTGTGATTATTTATTTGTGACTCAAAGTATTTTGAAACAGTTTAATCAATCGTTTTTGTCAGCAAGAGTAGAAGCCTTATTTCAGCCAGCCCCTCAGCAGTGTGCAGCAAGAGGTGGGAGAGAAGCAAATATTACTGTTTTCTCAACACTCTGAGAAAAACTGTAGAAAAGTTTGTGCTTTCTGTGGTATCTCTTACAGAGTTGAGCAACAGTACAGTGGAATATTCCTTTAATTTTGAAACGGCAACATTTTAAAACCTTGACACACCTTGATTCAGGTAGCCGATCCATGCCTACTTGACAATTATGTACCATTTTAGTTTTTCACACCATCATCATCATTGTGTTTTTTTTGTGACCAAAGCATTTCAAAACAGCCTAGAATGTCTCTCTTTTAAGTTTAGGAAAAGTGCAATAGCCCTTTTTTCAGAAAGTTTACTGACATTGAGAAGCAAAAGGTGGTAAAGGAGCATCTGCATTCTTTTTTTTTTCTTTTTTTTTTGCCCAGTATAATCAGTAGAACCTCTGACATCTGATACTTGCTAAGAAATTGAAAATAAGTTTCAATTTAAGGAGTGGTATGATGGAGAATTTTAATAATTTCGAAGATGTAACTCTTTAAAAGCTTAGTTCTCCCTGATACCTATCCATATTTCACATTTATGCACTACTTTGCGTTGGTTGATCACATAAAATAGCAAAACAAATAAACAAACAAACTGTGAAACTGGCAGCTGTAACTTTTGCAAGGGAGAGCACAATCGGTCCTTGTTGTCCAGAGGGACTCCATTGTTCAGTGCACATAATTGTTTTTGTCTATGTGTGTAAAAGCCTCGTCCAGAGAGTCTTGGACAATGAAGTCTGTCTTCCAGGGGATGTAGATTTCTGTTTTTGTCCCTCTCTCCCTCTCCTTTTCCTGTCCAATTCCCTCTGCCTTCACATCTGGATCTCCCCACCAGCTGACAAGAAACAAGAGGCAACGGATGGAGGGAGTTGTGGATGTGAGGGGACTCACAGAGAAGAGAGAAGGAATGAAATTGGAGGAAAGGGAGTTTTCTTAGGTCAAAGTAGCCCTAGTAGACTTCCCTTTGTACAGGAAGAGCTGACGTACAGTGTCATTGTGATTGCCCAATTTGGAAGAGGAAACACAAAATGTTGTAATCACACACACGTGAGAAAACACCCCTTATGATTCATGCACTGATGTGAACATGTTGATTGCTCTAAAAATTGTGTTGATCATTTCATACGCAAGCCACGTGCAAGTGAAGTCAAAACCAAACCAGACAACTGATGTCTGTCACTTTTGTGAAAAAAAAAAAAAAAAAAATAGTACTGTCGCTTCAGTGACAGCTTTGGCAGAACGAGGCCTTAGCTGCCAACACAAGTTCAGATCCCTTTCTGTCTTTGAGCTCTGTTGCTTTGAAACTCCATGAAACCATAATGAAAAGCTCTACCTAAAAGAAGCTCCAGTTTGACTGGATGGGATTTATCAGGTTTTCTTTTCTTCCTCTGATGCATGAAACTGTCCATGCCAACTGTGCTGCAGTTTGTGCCAGTGCTGGGCAGGCTCTTGTGTGGCTGTTTATTCATGCCATGGCAGGGCCAAATGCCATGGCAACAGGTGTGCACAGACATGCACAATATTAAACCATAGGTGAGTTTCTTTGAATGTGTAGCTGTCTTTTGCTTTCCGTTTGGAGGTTCTCTGCAGCTCAGCCGACGTTCTGACTTTGCGCGCTTGTTATGACTGAGACAGTGATGAAGCACAAACATCACTTCGTCCGCAGCCTCTGAAGAACGGTTTGACTGTGCAGCCTCTACCGCATGTGCATCTGTGATTCAGCCATGTCTCTCTTGTCTGTGCAGCTGGTCTGTGTCTGCCCGCAACGCTGCTTTTCGGTTTATGTCTGGCTGTCGCTAACCGTGCATCTCCGGGTGATGAAAAAGTTAGAAGGAATGACGCCATGATGCAGGTGGCATGTGTGCAATGAGTGCCAAGCCAACACGCCTTACACCACATCACTGCCTCAGATTCTACAGCCAATGAGGCACAACAGGCGGTGCACTGTACAGTAGTGTACTGTTTGCGTGCCAGCCAACAATTCAGAGCAGGGAACAGTGTGATGTGTTTGGCTCAGTGAGAACACTCAGGATTGTTTTGGTCATGGTGATAGCATTCTATGAATGGACGCACAATGTACGTCCATTGTGCAATGCAATAATGTCTCGGTGACGAAACCAGAGCAAGACAACACTACATAAAGATTATTGTGACTACAACAATAAACACTGTATTGATAATTACAATGAGCATGTAGCTATGGGCATTTTCTATATTTTGTGGCCATACAGAATTAGGTTGACTTCATAGATTTAGGCCTTTTTTGGTAAAACGATGAACAAAAAAAGAATTATATCTGCCAAACCTGCTTGGCAGAGCGAGGAGATAAATTACTTGGGGAAACAGCCAGAAGGCTTCTGGTAACTCTTGAGGATTTGCAGAAAGCCATAACTCGGATAGTAGAATCCCATGACAGGACTACTCTTTATTATGCACTCTACAACTTTACAATAAAGCAACACAAAGAAAGCTGTTGCTGAAAGAAGGTTACAGAATTGGTGTTTTGGTCAAATGCGATCAAGCTTGGTAGTGTGTTTGACATAAAACTAAATCTTTACAGAATTCTGAAAACATCTTCCCCGTGAAAAATGCATGGAGGTGTGGCATGCTTATGTTTAGCAGGGGCATGGACTTTTCTAAAACTTTTAAGTGACAATAATAAAAGACAACATTTTGGAGGCTGTAATAGCACAGGTTCATGATCATAAACATGAACTCAGGGCTACAATAGTCACTCATGGCTAAGACAAGATTGTGAATGTGTGACAATATTGGGAATTGGCTGTGTAGACAGTCTTTCCAAACAGACTAAGCTTGAGTTGCTCAGTAAAGAAGATTGGGCAAACGAAATTTCTATCACAACTGGTAGAGACATACCTCCAGACCTCAAGTGACTCGAGGCTGTGATTTTAGCCAAAAGTGGTTCTACAATGTTAACACAAAGGAGCTGAGTAAAAAGTTAAACTGTGTTTTTTTTGTAAAAGAAAAAAAAACAAAAAAACAATCTTTGATTTACATTCCATTTCACAATTACTTGGCGCTTTTGTAGTTTTTTTTTTTTTTTCTGTTTTTTTTTACACAAAATTCTAACAAAATACTTTGAGGTTTATAGTTGTAATGCGACACAATGTTTAAAAGGTCTGTAAATCTCTTTCAAGCTGCTGTGTTATACAACATCTTGATGTGTCTAAAACATGGTCTGTGAGCTCCGCAAGCGCAATTGAATTTATGTGCCCTCATTCCTAAAATAGATTTTCTTGAGCCCACTCCTTTTCTGATGTTGTTAAAGCAGCCTCGTTTATTACGGGAAAAGATGAGTTTTCCGAGCTGCACTTAAAACATCTTGCTCCCTCGTTCGTTTTATCTACAGCCTACTCATTTTCATGGTTACGGCTTTGATCCTGCCGCAATTTGTCCGGCTCATCTCAATTTTCTTGTGAAAGTCACCTTTGTCAGTCTATGGCGCCTGGGAATATGCATTGGAACGAGATGAAATTCTTTAGAACTCAAATTACCCTACATATTTGCATTTACTTTGATATGGATACATTGTGTTTCTTATGTCAAGCATGTATTTACTTCTGTAATAATGATTATTAACAAGAAGAAATGAAGGTGATAAAATCCGTTGTTTTACACATTCATTATAGGTGTATATATATATATACTTTCAATTATATGGCTAGAGGTGGTACATTTGTACTAACTCAAAGTGTCATGCAAGCTTTATTTTTATTTTTTTATTTTTTGCACAAAAAGCCAAATTTATCTTCAAGACTACATCCATCCTCTTACAATTCCAAATCTGTCTAGTGTTGCAAGCTCTGGCTCCGTTGTGCAACTCTCTGTGGTTCTGCCGCTACTGCGAAGCCTGCATTTTAAACCTGATTAGCTGTAATGTTGTAAAAGTTACAGAGTCTGGAATATTTCTGGAGTTTTGAGCGTGTCACAGGTTTCACGACACATTGAGGGGAGCGGATTACAGCCATTATGCATTGTAGGCAGCTCTGTGTGCGGACACAAAGAGCTCTGATTACTGCTGGCACTCTTGCCTCACTTCCCAGGATTCAGTGCATCGGCTGGCACAGTAAGGAGGTGGCGGCGGCTTCAACACAGATGTTGGCAACGCAACGCGAGCCTAGCCACACACTGAATTAAAACATGTTCACGGCTGCCATGTTTTATTTGTGCAACAGCAGATGGCTTTTTCTGAATCATCCACGGTAAACCGTTTGGAAAAAACTATTATTGTAGACAGCAACATTACTCTACAAAAGTTTCAAATCACCACTAATATCGTAATAAATTCCATAACAGGAGCCAAACTTTTTTTTTTTTTTATGGTCTTTTAAAGTCGTCTTGATGAAAGCGTTTTGAAGGTTCTGTTTTTCTTTGACCTTTGGCTTCTTTTTTTTTTTTTTTTTTTTTTTTTTTGCTTATCTCTGTCCTTGTACCTAGATGTGAACAGCATGCTTTGTATTGTGACTTTTAAAAGTAAATTGTGAAATTTATAAAAATGGAGAACTGGATGAGGAGGGTCAGAGCAGAAATGAAATGTTTTACAGCAGATGAGCAGCATCTAAAAGGCATGCCTGCGCAAGACCTGAGAGATTTGCTATCTTTATTGACCATCTAACTGGTGTATGCCAATTGTCTAATTGTTTTGCATTTGACATTTAACCTGAGAACATAAAACTGTCTTTATGAGAGGTGTCAACATTAAGTAGAATTTTTTGGCATTGAATTTAGGAGCTTTGTAGATGTCCAATTCTTTATTCCCAATACTGATGAGTCAGACAAGAATAGACCTTTGTTGGTGTACCGGTACTTATCACATGTTTAAAAATTAATAAATGTATAGTGTGAGTTTAATCCTGGAAGCTTTAAAGAAAATGCATATTCAGCACTCTTTAGTGTGTCTTTTCAGTTTTATTGCAAATATATCATTATCGTGTAACATCAGTTTGTCCAAAATTGATATCGCAAAGGACATCCTGTAGTGTAATAATTGTTGGCAAATATATTCCGAGTGTTAACTTGCATTTTTCAATCTAATGTCAAATTTAGCCAGTTGGACAGAGTCTATGGCAGCAGATGTTCACACTGGACACAAATGCTATTCCCCAAACAACAGAGTGTTGGAGACACAGATGAGAAAAAGATGAAAATTGATATTTCGGGACAATATCATTATCACTTTATTTACCAATTACAACGTTGCTACATTTTCAAATATTGTGCATCCCTAAAACAGACTAAAACAAAATGCATTCTAGGTGTTATAAATATGTCACAGAATCAGAAAGCCTAAATAAATACTAATCTAAAGAAATTGTGGGACTGTAGAACCAAATAAAATTAATGGATGTTTAAGACTTTCACAATATCTGAATATATTGGAAAACCTTTGTTGGGTTTGTTTTTTGTTTTTTTGTTTTTTTGTTTTTAATGAAACATTTCCTCTCTTGTCCTAACTGAATCCATTGAGATATACAAAATAATACAACAAGATAATATAGCATAACAATACATAATATTCATAAGTTGGCTCACGGATGAAAGATAAAACATTTGTTTTTAATTTTAGTTATAATATTTACATCAATTTTTAGATTAAGTTTTATAATGCTGGCTTATTTAGCTGTTTTTTTTTTTGTTTTTTTTTTTTTTTTTTTCCCCTCAAACTGGATGAGATGGTTAAACAGCCAATTCATCAGTTTACCACAGCCACAAAAGAAAAAAGCTTGCATGCATGGATGCATTAAAGGAATTAGGATTTATAATCGACTGCTTTTAAAGTAATAACTCATCAGCTGTAAAGACTTAGAAAAACCTGCAACATGTCCATCTGCACTACTGTAACTCCAATAAAATTTGACGATCCTTCCTAACACAAAGCATTCACTCACAAACATGCATTTACGTCACCCATGGCAACAGCTTGGCGGAGATCAATGGTGATGTCAGCACTGATGTACGAGAGTTGGAGAGTGAAGTATGACCTCAGCAGAGGGGATGTCCCAGGGGGCCCATATCAGCTGCAGCTAGCACTTTCCTTTAGCACTTTCTCACACTCTGTATCCCGGCTGAAAAAACTAAAGCTGCCCCCACTTTAAACCCATGCATGTGATACTTCACAGACAGCACAAATCACGGTGAAGGTCTGACACACACAAGAAAGGACACGCACCTCACATCTGGTGCTGAGAATATTTAGAGCAATGGGAGGCAGATGGCTAAAGTTCATTTGAGAGGATAGCTCTGATTGATTAAATAAACTGCTTCAGTTATGAATGGAAAAAAGTTTTGACACTTGCAATGCAACTTTTAGCATCTGTGCAGAATTTCCTACTAAGATGGAAATGCAGGTTCCTTTTTACATTTTGTAGGTTCAGATGGAACATTTTGCATCCCTCCCCAGCACAGCCTATCTTAGTAACAATGAAGACGATGTTAAAAACTAAGATAGTGAGGTCAAAATATGCCAAAGTCTTTCCAGAGGCCTGTAACTGTTTTACTGTTTTCTATCTTTTTTTTTCTTGACGATAAAGAGAAATTCTACTTTTTAGGTCATTTTGTATTTTGGATTACATTTTCAAAAGACAAGAAGCAATCAAATCATAAATGCACTTTGTTAAATCAACTAGACAGCTCTGTCATCCACTCTGAAAATAAAACAAAGCATCTTTGGGAGCGGGGGAAGTTGTGGGTTTCTTGAGCTGAAATATTCAGTTCCTCAAATCATGAGCTGCTGATGTGACTTCTTCACAGATTGATTGCTCACTGTTTTGTCCTTCACCGAGGCTGTTTGTGAAGTACTGTTCCTGCTAGTGGAGGTCACTGAGTTCTCTCGACAAAAATTTGCTTACATGGGGTGTAAAGTTTCAGTCTATCATGTTTTTCTTAAACTATAATTATGGCTGTCGGACACAACAGACAAGCGGGGTCTGTGTATTTCTCGTCTTTTCCTTTAACTCCCAGCAGCTATTTATCCGATCTCCTTCGGTCTCGGTCCTCGTCTTTCAAGGGGTTCATGGCTTTACATGCTGGCTTCACGTCAGGAAGCTTGTTTCTTTATGGGATGAAAAAAAAAAAAAAAAAACTTTTCCTCTGTTGCTAATACGTCTCTGGAATGATGCAGAATGATTGATCAACCATTGTCTTGTTACCATGGAAATGCTGAATTGCTATAGGTGCAACTGGAAATACATCTGACATCAGCAGAATACTCACTTGTCCCTGTTGCCAAGAATAACACACCTCTACATGCTCACACCTTAACATTTTATTTTAACAGATAATTGGATAAACGGGCAACTAGGATTGCTAATGAAAGTTATCTGAAAAAGCTACAATCTTGTGGCGGGCGTCTTTGCTCTTCATTTATTCATCTAATGCAAAGTGGAGAAAATAAAGCTCAAAGATGAAGATGGCTATTTGGCTCTTAATTGGGTTAATTAAAAAAATCAAAGCTTGAAATAAAAGACAGAAACTACATTTTACCAACAAATAATCTTTTTGCAAATGTTCTTTTTGGTTTGGAAGTCAAAGAGTGAAGAAAGGAGAAGGGTTTGAGATTTCGTGGAAAGCATGTTGACATCTCAACTTAAATTATTGGCGCCATCTCCAGAACATTTTTTTTTTTTTTTTTTTACACTGGCATAGCTGTATTCAACAGCCTGCTACTCAAACAGTCATAATTGAGTTGTTCTAGGACAGTATCCCATTTTTCTAGATCCTTAATGTGTTTATGTGTTTGGGGGGAAAAAAAACAAACAAATAAAACACACAAAAACGTTCAAGAACGCAGTTTTAAATCTCTTGATATTGCATGATGTTTTAAACTGTCATCAGATGGGAGATAAATCAGCCCTCCACTCATCCTCGCTGGAATAGATTTCCCTTTGGTAGGCAGGTGCTGCTAAAGGTAAAGCCTGGGAAGAACACCAGCCAAAGAACATGCGGGAAAGGGAATTCAGATAATTGTGAAAATTTTGGTTGCTTACCAGATTGAGAGGCATATATTTTCTCTTACCTGAAGTGATTTCTCTTTCTTCCACTCCTGTTTTCTTTTTTTAACGTTAGAAAATCCTGAAAATCTCTGAAGGCTTTAGAAGGGAACATTGTGTACACTAATTTATGACAGAGAGGCCATCAGGAGACAAAAATTAAAATGGCCCCAGCTTAACGTGACCTGGCCAATTCTGACTGTATTATTGGTGCTCTGCCCCAGGGGGAGCTCTTACTTCAGCTGTGGAGTTTCAAACTTTTTCTCCTTCCTCTTCTGGTCCTAAAG